TCTTACTGTATGTCCAGCTAAAAATACCAGACAATTCACTCTTCCTTGGAAATTCTTAGTTTCTGTATGATTTGTCTTGACATATTCCCCTACTTTTAGAATGTTTCTCATCTCCCCAGTGCTATATTTGTCTAAAAAAGACCACAAGAATTCCTTCAAAACTATCCTGAATTCCCTGACACAATATGATGAAACTGCACACCACTATGGAATGCTCTAGCTTGTGGCCTGGTGCAGAAACAAACAAACAAATAAACAAAAAAACAAGGATACAAAAATGTTAGATGAATTTCTGCACCCTAATAGACCAGTCTTTGCATCTTTCTATGGTGGCCGACAGTTTTATGTGCATTGTGTTTGTTAATAGTCATGCCAGACCAGAAGCTGTTAGACTACAAATACGAGGGATTGTCATCTTCTTAGCAGCTGTTGAAAAGTATTTTTAATTCCATTTAACTGAAACTCATGTTTCATTCAGATCTACTTTTTTTTAAAAGATTTATTTATTTATTTGAAAGTCAGAGTTACACACAGAGAGAAGGGGAGAGAGAGAGAGAGAGAGAGAGAAAGAGAGAGAGAAAGAGAGAGAGAGAGAGAGAATCTTCCATCCGCTGGTTCACTCCCCCAAACAGCCACAATAGCTGAGCTACGGCAATCTGAAGCCAAGAGCCAGGAGCTTCTTCTGTGTCTCCCATGTGGGTGCAGGGGCCCAAGGACTTGGGCCATGCTCCTTTGCTTTCCCAGGCCATAGCAGAGAGCTGGATTGAAGTGGAGCAGCAGGGTTTGAACCATGCCCATATGGGATGCCGGCACTGCAGGTGATAACTTTATCTGCTATGCCACAGCGCCAGACCCCAGACCTACCTTTAAACTAATACTGCATTTCTGTCTGAGTGTAGACTTTGAAGAAGTTAGAAAGTAAAGCTTTGAAATGTGAAACTGTGGCTCTGTAGTGGAGTTCTGTGAGGTTTGCCCATGCAAAATGTAGTCCTGGGGTCAGTGTTGTGGCCAGCAGGTTACGCTTCCGCCTTCAATGCCAGCATACCAAATCAGGGCTGGCTGGAGTCTTGCTACTCTGCTTCCTATCCAGCTCCTTGAAAATGCACTTGGGAAAGCAGCAGATGGTCCAGATCATTGGACTCCCAAACCAATGTTGGCGACTCAGAGTTCTGGACTCCTGGCTTCAACTTGGCCCAGGTCTGGCTATTGTGGCCATTTAGGGAGTGAATCAGCTGATTAAAGATTTCTCTCTCTGTCTCTACCTCTCAGTAACTACCTTTCAAATAAATAAATGAATCTTAAAAAAAAATGTAGTCACCTTCCTTCTGGGTAAGCCTTTTAATCTCTAATTCAGGGAACCCCTCTTTTCAGGTCAGAGTCATTGAGGTACAAGGGTGTGTGCTCCTCAATGCAAGGATAGCCCTGAGACCCAGGGCTGGTCACACAGGCTGACTGTGCCCAGATTCATCAATGCTTCAGCTACTGGCATGTGACCAAGTCCAATCAGATCCAAATCTGAGACGCTACTGTGCTGATTGGGAAAAGACTCCTTTTTGTTTGTTTTTGCGACAAAGTTTGAGCAAAGGATCACATATAAACCTGATGCTTCCTGTCAACTTGGTGGAAATTTCTTCCAGAGACTATTCACAGCACAGCAAAAAGAGCTCAGGAATGAGAAATTGAGATTTACTCCTGTGAGAGGTCTGGATCTAGCCTTTCTTGACTTTGGTATCTTTGTATCTCTTTTGCCTAGGCTTCTTTTAATCCAGTTCTATCCTTTGAAAACAAAGGAATTCTGCTCATAATAGGCTAAAATTGAGAATACAAGTACATTTCAAAGTCTAAATATATGTTTATATTACAGTTCAAAAACTATGCTTCTGGCACACAGAGAATTAACTTCAGGATATTTAATTTTTTAAAATACATCTATAAAGCAATGCTGGTTATGTCAAATAATGTAAGTGTTTTGGAAGATAAAATGCATTTGAAAATAATACAATTAATTTTCACCTGCTAAAAGAAACATGTATATTTCTTTAGGAATATCTTAGAGAAATAGATATATCTTTGTGATGGATACTTCCTATGAGACACTCTAAAAGTTCTGGCATTTTTAAAAAACTCATCTTTAATATTTTTTAGTTAATTAATTTGAAAGAGTGACAGAAAGAGGAGGAGAAACAGAAAGGGATATTTTCTCTCTGCTGGTTCACTCCCTAACTGCCCACAACAGTTGAGACTAGGCCAGGCCAAAGCCAGGAACCAGGAAATTCTTCCAGGTCTCCCACATCTGTGGCAGGAATCCTAGTACTTGGAACATCAACCTCTGTCTCTCAGGTGCATTATCAGGATCCTTGATCAGAAGCAGCTGCTCTCAATCCCAGATACTCCAGTAGGGCATGTGGGTATCCATAGTGGCGGTGTAACCACTGCTCCACACAGCTGGCCCAGAAATTCTGTGTTTAAGTGCCAGACAGGACCAACGGTTGACAAAGCGGTCCCTTTGCTGCAGAAACTCTTCTGCCAAATCTTTGCTATGGCCTGGGTCTCCTGACTTGAGCATGGAGTCTTCAACATTTCACCGAACTTTTGCATCTTGTCTTCTCAGAGAGCTTACTAATATTATATTAGAAGGAGAAGATGCAGTTTGGCTAGGAAGTCAAAGATCTGTGGCCTTCTCTTGAAGGTCTGGATTGTTTTTGTTAAAATGTGGGATGAATAAATTTTAAAGTGGGTGGGGATATATTGGAAGGAGCAAGATGAGGCCTATCCCTCTGCTAACCAAGGCCATAGACCCTAAATGAGGAACAGAAGAGTCTGCTCCAGAATGGAGCATGAAAAATGATGAAGAAGAGGAATGCCTAGGATAGATTTCCTTTTCTGAATTTTGTTGAATGCTGGCTGCAAGGAGATGGGAGAGGGAGAGGGAAATGGGAGAGGAAGAGGGAGTTAGGATGGGAGTTGGAGGAGGGGAGGGTGGGTATGGGAGAAAGAACCATTGTATTCCTTAAGTTGTATCTGAAAAAAATGCATTCATTAAATAAAAAAAGAAAGCTATGACATTCTTTAACAATGAGTTTCCAAATGAAATTGTCTGCATTGTTTTTATTTTATCAAATCTGTTTCTTATTAAACCACTTAATATGTATAAAGGTATACTAGTCCACAGTAACTCATTTGCATTTGACTCTAAGATGTGGTCTGTCCATTCAAGAGAATATGTGATACTTATTTTTAAAAACAATTCTGAGAATGTCTTCACTCACCCATCCTCTCAACTTGTTGCTCTTTCTAAATCTCTATCAATAAGTTTAATTCATTCTTAATTTTACACTTCTTCCATAAAACACTTATATTTTAATAACAGTTTTATGAAAAAGAACCCACTCATTTCTACAAAGAATTTTGTTTTCAAAACTATTAAACAGCTTTAGAAACTTTTGCAGACTTTCTTCAATGCCAGATGCTTATCCAGATATTCATTCTTGCTAATGTGTAAGGACTATACATGTTTATTCATGTGTTGCTCTTTTTATGATAAAATAAAATAAAGTAATATACATATCAACCAAAATTATCTGAATTATACAGCTTCAATAAATGCAGAGGTTCTGAATCACAATATTGAAGAGGGATTTAAATAATGCTTTCCATTGTGAGGAAATGCAACAAATTGGAAATCTAATCAGAATATCAAAGCAAATATATATTACCAGGATCTTCTTACACACTTACAATAAAAAAATGTATTGAACACCAAGTCCTAATCTCTGTTTTACCCTGATCATTTTAATAGCCAACAAGTAGCTAGCTTCAGTATTGACAATTGAAGAGATCTTAAAATGGAGTGTGTTATGATGCCTAATACTTTCCTACTAAATTGACCATGTCAGAAAAAAAACATTTATATGTGTCTTTCAATATAAGGCAATAAAAGAAAAGAAAATTGTTGCCACTTATCAACCCTGTAACCATTTTTTAATAATACAAAAAATCGGTGTTGTGGGGACCATCACTTCCCCTAGCCAACAGCACAATAAAATAATATTAGGGAAGAGTGGATCATATCTTGGGTTTTATTAAAATTCTTTCAGAAATCTACAGTCAGATTTATTTTTGGTATTTGTCTCTGAGATTAGCAATATTTTGACATTTTCTACACATATTTTATAGGATGCAAAGACATTCTGTAAAATCGAGAAATCAGTATGAGAGACCATGTGAGTTTATGATAAATAAATTCTTTCACTTCTAGGGTTTATTGTTTTGGGATACCTCAAAGAAAGAAAATGTGAAAATTACATAAATAACAAAAGTCTACCTCTAATTTGCCTCTTTCTTCAGTGAAGTTGGCTGTGAGTTCTCTTTTAAACACATGTTTTGTTTATGAATAAGAAAGTCATCCTCTTTTCACCCTAAGTCTTAAATATAATTTAGGAGAAATTTTTGAGGGTCATGACAGAAAGTTTTCTATTTTAATACTTTCTTGCTTTTTAATGGCTAATAAGCTACATATTTTAGAAACCTTTTAAAGATTTTACTGTTAACTTAAATACAATGCCCTAAAGAGATTATCTTTCACACTGAAATTCAAGATGTTTTTATTGCTATAAAATGCCTTTTTCTCTTTTATTAACTGGATCTTGAATAATGCATATTTTTCCAAAACCATCAGTTAAAGGTGCACATTTTTCTACTAGCTATTTCCAAAAGCACTTTCAAATTAAACTATACCTATTCAATATTAAACATTTTTGTGTAAAATCATAACAAAAGATCCTAATATTTCACTAGAGGACTTCAGAATTCGACAGCTGTAAATACACATGGGGAAAGAAAGATTCTTTTCTATACCAAAGCAAAGAAGTTGATAGTTTAATAACAGGTGAAAGCATCACATTTTATAGAAATGTTTATATGTTCACACCAAGATGGGGGATACTCTTCTAAACATTTTCAAGTTTAAATTTCACATAGGTTATAAAGCAAACACTTACCTTGTCTCAGCGATGACTTGCTATTGAAACTGCCATCAACTTCTAACTGTTAATAAGTCTTTCAACAAAAACGGAAAACAGTGAAGTTACATGTCGTAAGAATAGGCCTGTGTTGAATGCTGTTTAATTTCAGTACTGAAGAAAAAAAAAAAAAAGGCGGGGGTGAGGCGAGTACAAAACTCTTAAATAAAACCACTTCCTGGGTAGATGCAATTAACTACACATCACTACTTGATTTGAAGAAATTACCTTGTATAGTCAATAATATGACTTTTAAATGTGATTATCAATTTTCAAACATCACCTATTTATATAATCTTCACTAATTTTGATTTAATGGGGAAAATGTATATTTATAAATTTAGCACAGGGTGGAGCAAGCTGCTAGGCCCTGAGGAAACTTCCTCTTTTTCTGCCTTCTAGCAAGACCTTAAAAATTAAATCTCCACCCTAGTCTGGATAAGCTTGAGCATATTCACCTGTTTCAGAGGCTCTGAATATTGACTTGGGAATCCAAGAAGCTGCCTCCAACTCAGAATTTGTGCTGCTGTCTCACTCAAGAAAGGACCCACCAAAAACTGCTCCACTTAAGAAGTTCACAGGGTGTGAGCAGGTTGCGTCAGAACCTCTGAGAACAGCCCAGAACCCAGCTGCATCTGAGCGTCTCTATGGGACAGGAAGGTGTCCAAAATGCACCCGCTTTGGTGTTGCTCTGGCTGTGGCTCTCACTCCCATGTCCTGTCTGCCTCTTTCCCATGCAGTTGTGAAATCTGCTGACAAGCTTTCACTCTACCTGACTGGCTCTTTGTGTGGTCTAACTTAAAAAGAAACAATAAAATAAAGGACCCAAAGGGTATCATTGTGGCATGCTGCTGTGCCAAACTTCAGCCAAATCAAGGCGTATTTTTAAAGGGCTTCAGCAATAATCATAGGATGTGAATCTTTATTGGGCCATGGAATTCAAGAAATAAGCTCTTAGATTTTCAGGCTTGGCTTGTTTTTGGAGCTTTGTAAGATATGCATAAATGGAAAAGCTTGCTTTCCTAAGAAATGAGTTAAATTAAAAATTATACAAACCAATTAGAACTGAAATCTGTGTAATAACTCAGTGGGATGGAATGTTTGCTATACAAAAAGAAAACCTTTGGAAATATATTTGTTATATATGGGCCGTGTAAAGGATGACAAGTTCTTGCCAGTTAGTCTCATTTCACTAGGACCCTCCCTTTTGAAATCGCATTTCAGACCAATCCTAGAAATCCCAGTTAATTTTAATTCTATAAAGGATATCTTTCAGTGGTATAGTCCTGGTGATGTTTTTTCATCTGACTTCTCTTTCTCAACACAATGGAGAAAGTGGAACGAGAACGATATCAAAAGTGAGGAAATCAGAATTTAGGCCTCAATTCTGACAGCCTCTCTTTAACCTTGAACATGTCGTTTTCACTGAGGCTTTCTGAAATGCAGTTTATTTCTCCATGAAATAGAACATGCAAATACAAACATCCTATCTTAGGAAATATAAGAAGTGATTTTTTGGGGATGCTACAAAGAATTGTAGATATACACATTAGTGTTATCTGGGAAAGAAAGGCTGATGCTTCCCAAACAGTATCAGAAAAATTCACTGTTTTTCATTTGTCATAAGCCTTTCTGAAATTGAGTAAGACTCAGGAATCTAGAACAAGGAAGATATGTTAGGCCTTTCCTTTAAAATACATACCAGCTACAGACATCTGACTAGGAAAAGATATAGAACAGCAATATCAGGGCTGGTGCTGTGGGGTAAAGCCACAACCTGCAACGCCTGCATCCCATAGGCCAGTTCACTTGCTGGCTGCTCCACTTCCCATCCAGTTCCCTGCTAATATGCCTGGGAAAGCAGAGGAAGATGGTCCACATGCTTGGGCCCAATGGAAGACCTGGAAGAAGTTCCTGGCTCCCGGCTTCAGATCGGCCCTGCAACGGCCATTGCAGCCATTTGGGGAGTGAACCAGCAGATGGAAGATCTCTCTGTCTCTGTCTCTCCTGCTCTAACTCTGCCTTTCAAATAAATAATCGTAAAAATAAACAGCAATATACACTATGACAACAAATATACACAACTACTTGAAGGGGGAAATGATATTTTACACATGAACAAGCTTACATTAAATTTAGACATAATTACATTTTTGTATAGGCTAGGAGTTAGCCATTTAGACATTGATACATGGGTTTGGGCTCTAGGAGATGTGCTTACTATGATTAAGGCTTTAGGCTCTTCGTTAGTACTTTGGCATCTGTGGCTGGATATATTCACTTCAGTATCTAATATTCGTTAATATTTGCTATGAGTCAAGCATTGTACTTAGCATCTTATGTCATTCTGCCTTCCAATCCTCTCAACTTTGTTAGCTAGTAGATGTTATTATACTCATTTTACAAATAAGGAAACTGAGGTTACTTTGTTTCCCAAATTAGAAAGTACAGCCAGAAGTCAAACTTGCCACTCTGATCTCAGAGCCCTGTTTGTAAGTTATTCTGCTATCTCATAAGCACTGCTACACAGCCCAACTCTAAGCAAATAATATAGAGGAAGTTTCATTCCTTATTTGCCTCTTCAGAGACTAGTATGATAGACTTACCTTGCAGAAATAATTCCTGGGAGTAATATTAAAATCAGGTCCCAACAATATTCTCTAAATTATAACATATCAGATAAATTAAAAGAAACTTTGTATAAATAGAAATATACTATGTTCATTTAAAAAGAAACAGTAGAAACATATCAATCTGTTCCAATTAATCTACAAATAAGATAAAATCCCAATTATAATTACAACTGACTTTTAAAGAATGCAATAAGATCCTTCAAGACTTTCCACAGAAAACTAATGTCCAAGAATACTTAAGTTAATTTTGAAATAAGGAACAAAGGCTGGTGACTTGCCTTGTTCGATATTTACACACTCCAAAATAAGTACTAATAAAAATGTTGCAGGAGTAGCTCAGAAAAAGAATGCATTTGAGAATTTAGTATATGACAAAGATGGGATGATGAGATAAACAAAAAGGAACAAATTGTTTTAGTAGATAATGTTAGCAAGACTCATTCAGTAAATAGAGGAAAATAGATTTGGGTACCCCTACATCAGACTGTATGCAAAAATGGTCTCCAGGTAGATTGAAACCTACATTTCAAAGATGAAATTATGAGGCTGTTATAGTAAAATGAAGGGAAATACTACTGTATAATAGAGCTTTCTTTCCCAAGAAACTACTTGGTGTTTGCAATATCTATGAATTTATTAAGCAGTTATTATATGTCATGCAATGCAGTAGGCTTCAGTTATACTTGCTATATACTGAATGTATATGTCATCTCAAATTTTATATATTGAAATCCTTGGCCGGTGCCGTGGCTCAATAGGCTAATCCTCCGCCTTGCAGCGCCGGCACACGGGGTTCTAGTCCCAGTCGGGGCGCCGGATTCTGTCCCGGTTGCCCCTCTTCCAGGCCAGCTCTTTGCTATGGCCCAGGAGTGCAGTGGAGGATGGCCCAAGTGCTTGGGCCCTGCACCTGCATGGGAGACCAGGAGAAGCACCTGGCTCCTGGCTTCGGATCAGGGCAATGCACCGGCTGCAGCGCACTGGTCGCAGTGGCCAGTGGAGGGTGAACCAACGGCACTGTCCACTCTGCCTGCCAAAAAAAAAAAAAAAAAATCCTTATAACTAAGGAGGTGGTGTTGTAGGTTGGCCCCTGGCTAGAGTTGATGCAAGTTCTTTTCTACCTGCAGGAAAGAATTCAAGGAAGATACAGGTGAGGGTGATCTTGGAAGCAAGATTTATTTAAAACCTAGTACACACTGAAGAAATTGGTGCAAATTGGAGAAAGAATGAGCTGCAACCTACAAGTTTCAGACCATCATTTTATACTCTGGAGGCTTGGGATGGTGTCTGGGGTGAGACTTACTATTCCAGGGAATGGGTTGGAGGTAGGGCTTGAGTAATGTCCATTTCCATGCCCTTTTAGATGTGTCATGACGTCAGGCACATTATGGGAGTGGGAATGTCAGCCATAGTAACTTTTTTATAACAACTTAAAGGCGATTGTAGGTTCATAGCCTGTAGTCATATTGGATATTTCCATCTGGCACTGGTAAGTTTGTAACATCATTGAACTTCCAGTTTCTATAAAGGGGCGTGGGTATAGGTGGTGTATGGAAGGGATTTGGGTGGTACATGTTAATGGCTTTGGGCAGTACACAGAAAGGGTGGTTTGAATAATTCATGTTGGGTGGTCATGCAGGTGGTTCATGACTATGGCAACCCAGGCAAGCTAGACAGAGAAGCAGGGCAGGTTTGGGAAACCTCAGCTGCCCCTGCTAACACTACCTCTATGCCTACATCAGTGGTATTTAGGAGGTGAGGCCTTTGGGAGGTTATTAGATCATGAGAGTAGAGCACTCATGACTGGGATAAGTGCTGTTAGAAGTGAAACCCCAGAGAACTAGTTCTTATCTTCCACCACAGGAGGATGCAATAAGTAGGTATCTTCCATAGAGGAAGTGAGCCCTCAGCAGGCAGAGAATTTGCTGGGCCCATGATCTTGGAGTTCTCAACCTGCATAATTATTAGAAATATATATTTGTTATTTTGAAACCACTCAGGTAATGCTATTTTCTTACAGCCACTGACAAGTCCAACACAATTATAAGCTGGTTGGAAAAAAGTAAATAATACTTATAATATATATCATAAGTATCAATAGATAGTAATCACTGATAGTAAGAGCAATGGAGAACATAAAGCAAGATTAGTAAACAGCAAGTATACACACTTTCAAGAATGATAATCTAAATGGAGATTAGTTACAGAGTAGATATATAGTCCCTTGAAGTAGAAGAAGGCACAAGAGAGGTTTAATTTATTTGTTTTAGATGAGAAAATCATAGCTTAATTCTATGCTTATTGGAATGATGCAGTAGAGGGGGAAATTTTACTGACGCAACTCAGAACATTGTGACTTACTGGGGCCAGTCACTCCGGGTAGGTGAAAGGAGACATAGACTAGCCATCAACATAGACATTTTATAACAACAGAAGGAAAAAGGAAATATTCAGATGAAGGCCTTTGGGTGTGACATTTCT